ATTCGTATCCAATTAAAGGGTTTATTTATTAATCAGACCTCAGGTGCGAAGGGTTCTGCCTCATGGGCTATCAGCTTTATGTCCACAAGACCGAGAGGTCTAATTGCCTTTTAATTAATATTTACCCTTCTAGTTGAAGAAAAAAAGGAATAAGATATATGATAACAAAGTTTTTAYTGCTAAAAGTCCTAAAAWTTATCTCATAAATTATATGCATAAATTATCTCATTGTACAATTACTTGCTACAAGTTTAAATTAAATAATGTCAAAAATCATTTATTCAAACAATTTCAATTAGTTTATAATCTACTATTTGGTAAATTTTAATAACAGAGCCGAAAAATGTATTACAGCAGAGATAATCAATTCGAAAGACACATGGGTAAAAATTCAGTCTGCACCCAAGCTACTGCTGGATTTTCTCTGGAACAGAGTATCGTTTTTTGTGATTTTACTCTGGAACAGAGTATCGTTTTTTGTGATTTTACTCTGGAACAGGGTATCGTTTTCATCGATTTTACTCTGGAACAGGGTATAGTTTTCAGCGATTTCACTCTGGAACAGAGTCAGGGTTTTGAGGTCCAAGCGGCACACCCCCACCCAAGTTGGGGGGTGTACCTCCCGGGGTGAGATCGAGAGGGGAGCGGGGACCATGACATTCAATGCTATAGCTGTAAAAATTTAGCGTTAATCAAGTAATAATTGATTTCATATCTTGAATGTTAAGTATCAATAAATGTGCTTGTTATGCATTGCGAACACTTAATGTGACCATATACGGGCGTTGTTATTATAAAAGTTGATTATATATCATTAATACTCGTTGAAAGAGCATAATATAGTGAGTAGTAAGTAAAATAATTTCAATGCTCAAACATTACTAGAAATTGTAGGTGTTGAAATTGCAAAGTTTTGAGTGAAAAGCTTAACATCCTGATCGTTTTCACGTTTTTGTACGTTTTAAATGATTGTAAATCTTGCGATATTCAAAATTTGAAACTAAAACTCTACCAATTTACTAGTTTAATATATACAGAATCTTTCTTATGGCGGAAACAGACTTTTTTAAAACATGGAGCGTTTAAGGAGTTCCTTCCCGGTCTTCTGCTTTTTTTCATATGGTCATTTAACTGAAGTATAATTATCACATGYCTCGAAAAGAGTAAAAGAAATATGTGCCTA